GTTTAGACAAGAAGTGATGATTCACAGAATAAGAGGGAACAGCAAGTGATAGAAAATGAGATGCGTATTTGAGTGTTTCAATTTAAGTATAAAGTCCTAACTCGAAGTTAGGTTTTATTGTCATCATTGCTGATCACAGAGAATGGAGGGAAAAAATCAAAGATGACTGCTAGGTAAGAAACTTGGTTGATTGTTACTTCCTGAATGAGAAAAGAAAGTTGGGGGTGGGTTAAAAGTAAGGCCTCTGCTTTCAACAAGTTAATTTTGAACATGTTATGTAAGCAGTTGGATAAATTAATTTGAGACTAAGTAGACATCTATATGGGGGTGAAGTTACAAATTTAGAAACCATTATTATTAAGTATTTATGTGGTATTCAGAGCCATGGGATACCTTATAAAGTGATTATAGGTTGAGAAAATAAGAGACTTGAAGATAGAGTACTTAAAAAGGCAATGAGAAGGAACTGAGAAATAAATGAATGCCAAGAAAAAAAATCCAGAAAGATGAGATGAAAAACATGAGGATGGGTATCCTGGAAACAAGACAGGAAATAGTTTGGACTAGATGTGGTGGTGATACCTATAATTCCAGCTACTGCAGAGGCTGAGGCAGGAGGATTACAGATTTGAAGGCAGCCTGAATAATTTAGTGAGACCTATCTTTAAAAAAAATTCTGGGATATAGTTCACTGGCAGAGTGCTTGACTAGTATGGGTTCCTTCACCAAGGTGGTGGTGGGGACTTTACGGGCAGTAGTGAGCAAATCAAATTTTGTTGATATGTTACGATAAACTCTGAGAACTAACCCTTGTATTTGGCAAAATGCAGGTTCCTTGATAGGAACTGATGCTATGGAGTAGGCTGGTTGATTGGACTATTGGAGAAAAGAAACCGGATTAGAGAGGTTTCTGAGCTAATTGGAGGCAAGGGAACTACTCTTCCAAGGAGTTTTATTACAAAGTAAGACAGAGAAACAGAGCCATGCTAAAAGTTTTTTCTGGAGCAGATGGTCTTATAGGCTGTTTGTTTCTTGAAGGGAATATCCCATAGGAGGGAGAAACTTGAGGCAGGAGAGAGATCATTTCAGGTGAGAAGTTCTTGAGTAGGTGAAGGAACAAGATTCACTCTTGTAAAAGTAAAAGAAGCAAGAACATGGATTCAGCTGCAGTCTTTGGGTGAGACTGTGACTGAAAAATTCTTTTATTCCTTTATCAAATCCTCAACTATGGTATGCAAGATGATATTCTATGGGAGAAGGCACAGAGCAGTCTTGTCCCTCCTGTGTGAATGAAACACATAAAACAAACTCATGTTTTCGTAGATTTTATATTCTATTGAGGGGTAATAGACACATGGAAGCTCAGAAGATAATAAGCACTACAGAGAAAAATGAACTAGAGTAAGGGGCTTGCAAGGAGTTGTGGGGCTTGTGGGAGTAATGTGTGGAGAAGAGGTCTTAGTGACTAGGGAAAATGGAAGCAGACCTAAGGATAATAAGCAAGAGAGTCACACTAGCATCTGTGGGAAGATGTTTCTAGGCAGAGGGGGCAAAACATGCCAAGTCCCTGCTGCAGGAGTACGCTTGGCCTCCAGCGACCTGAGGAACGACAGAAGCCAGCATAGCTGAACACAAGGCACAAAGTGAGGGAGTTGTAAGAGACAAGGGCATGGCCGGGCGTGGTGGCTCAGGCCTGTAATCCCAGCACTCAGGAGGCTGAGACAGGAGGATCCTTGTGCGTTCAAGACCAGCCTGGGCTACTAAGTGAGCTCAAGGCCAGCCTGAACTGAACAGAGAGACCCTGTCTTCAAAAGACAAAAAGAGAGAGAGAGAGACAGAGAGAGAGAGAGAGAGAGAGAGAGAGAGAGCGAGAGAGAGAGAGAGAGAGAGAGAGAGAGAGAGAGAGAGAGAGAGAAGACCAGACAGGCAGAGGAGAACAGCTTGCATATGACTCTGGCAGTAAAGGCACGAGCTCTATGCTGAAGGAGGAGGAAAGCAACTGGAGAGTTTGCAGCAGACAGGTCACCTGACGTGACTTCCATTGTGAGCAGTGCTTTTGTGCTTTTGGCTGTTGTGGGGACTGGATTATGGGAGGCAAGGATCGCACCACTTAGGAGACTCCTGCAGTCACTCAGAAAAGAGATAATGTAGTTTTCCTCCAGGTGCTCTTATTTTCTCAGTAAGAGGTAATATCTTCATATGAGAGTAAGGAGGGTAGGATGGAGGCTTGAGAAGAGAAGCTGTGCTAATAGTGGGTGAAAAATTGATTAAGGAAATATGATTGAAGAGCTGCCCAGGCAATCGACTAACTAAACAATTTTGCCAGTGTGCTTATTTACTTTAGGACCTCTGAGGCCCATCTGACTGTGCATTTCTCTTCCTTGTGTTCAGTCATTCCATTACCACCCTACTGGCACATCCAGCTTTTTGTACCTTATCTGAGGGAGACTCTCAGAGTACTCAGCACCTGTTAGGAACTACTCTCCATGTGTCCATCCTTCTACCACCTCACATCAGCATTTAGTGTGGAAAATCCACAGAGTTCTCAGATCTTCTTATGACCCACTCCCCTTCCCATTGTACAGACCTCTGCAGGATTTGAGAGAGGCCCATGGATTTCCTCAGGCTAAGGCAGTAGAGAGAGAAAGATATAAGACAGTTACTACACAAAAGATGGGGGTCTCACCAGGGACATTGGTATGGCATTTAAGGTTGAACGGAAGTTAGAGACTGTGTATAGTGGCACCAATACTTACCAGTGTGTTTCTTTTCTTAACTATCAGCACTCATATCTGCAGAGCACAGGCAGATGTTTTAACTGATCCAGGACCACAAACATTTGTCAGGTAGTTATTATGGAATAACTAGGGATTAAGAGTGTGAGAGTGCTGGTGAGAGAGCTATTATCATAGTTTAGGCTGGATAGGAAAGAAAGTGGGATCAAGAGAGGGTGGATATCCTAGGAGAAAGTAGAGGCCCAGGGACTGGAAGGCATGAAGAAATGCAAGAGGAGAGGACGGAAGAGAAGTGAGAAGATGCTGTTGTAGAGGAAAGGGTACTGGAGTTGTAGGTTTCTGATACGGAACAGTTTGGTGGCTGGGGGAGAGGGATGTCCAGAGAATAGCCATTGGAGGGAGGAGGTAAAGTAGTTTGAAAATAGGTTTCTGTGAAGTGGAATTGCTCCACACATGCAGTGTGGTGCCCTGAGGATAATGCATGATTTACACTAAGGGAAACTGACAGCATGAGACACAAAGTAAGAGATACTGCGGCATGAGATACAAAGAAGAATTTTATGCGAAGGTGGAAGCATAACAGGCTGAACCAGCAGGGCAAAGCTAGCAAAATATAAATCCCTCCTTTTTACTTCATCCTCTTCATGTCTAGTTTAGACCCTTTATCACCCTGTTTTGATTACAGAAATATAACGTCTATATGTTTCTCTCTATATATTCAAATATTGAAATAGTCTTATTTTTATTTACTTATTTTTGTTAGTAGATGTTTGCAGTACATAATGTTTACAGTCCTGGTGTGGACATGTACGCACACATCTTAGTTCGTGTCCCTTCCCTGTCTCCCCTCTACCTCCATCTCTTGGACTCCTTCCATTAGAGAGAAATCTAGCTCCCTATTTCCTGCTATCTTTTATTTTGCTCATTATTTATAATAAATGCCCTTTAATTGCTCTCTTTGATTTTAGCCTTTTTCCTACAGTCTGTCATATGTGGATTGCTACTTTAACCAGTAGAATGGACGTATTTCCTTTTATTCTTGCACAAACGGTTCAGTGGCATCTTCCCTGTTCACAGAATAAAGTTCAAACCCCTTAGCCCCACCCTCATGATTCTAGGCTTAGATATGGCTTGGTCTTCTGGGCCTAGTAGAGGCAATAGCAAGTATTCAGTTTTTACTGTTTTGAATCTATTAGGTATTACTTCACCTAATCCTGGGGGACATTCCTGAAAGTAGTTTTGCTAACTGTCTGAATGTTCTCTTCCATTCCTCTAAGTGTTCAACTCCATTCATCCTTTAAGGCTCAACTTAATTACAGAATTTCCTTTGCCTCACAAGTCCCCTCTCTCTCTGTCCGTCTTTTGTAAAAATTCCATTTTAAGCTCTACATTCCAGCTAGTCATATACATAATAAGGAAGAACCATGCATAATTTATTATTGCATCCCAGTTTATAACCCCTAAGCCAGTATCATACATTTTGCAGATATTCAGTGTCTGATGAATAAAATTCATTCATAACTTTGTGGTAAACGGAGTTCTTCCAGTGTTGCAGTAATTTTAGGAGCCACATCTTCACTAGAAGATGATCTTCCAAAGATCAAACTTATGACCCTGCACTTGCTAGGCAAGTGCTTATACCACTGAGCTAAGTCCCCAGCCCTGTGGGTTGATATTTTTTATCCTCAATACTTAGCACATTTTTTTGAGCCTTGTAAGTTTAACACACAATGAATATCCAATAAAATCTTAGTAAATGGAACTGAATTATGGGACTTCACACTTATGCCATTTTTGCTACGTCAGCCCCAAGTACTTTTTAAGTGAACAGGATCTCTGTCATAGCAAATAACTGACTATATCCTGAAGTCTGGATATAACAAAGACAGATTTACTCATTTATTCTTTGATCCACTGAATCATGTCATAACTCGTGATTGATCTTTGTGTATTAAGTTTATTCTAACTATAGATAAAAAGCAATTGATTAGGCTAATGAGGTGATAGAATGAAGTTGGCTTGTTACTGTGATTTAAATGCTGTTTATGTGGAGAAAATAAAATAAATACCTATCTTCCATTTTTGCAGTAGAAGTTTCTGAAGGCAACTCTTCCTTTAAGGACCATTATTTCATCGGAGGATTGAGAATATTCTACACCAGTATTAGAGCTGAGAGGCAACAGGATTTTCCAGGCACAATGAGTCTTCCAGAAAACACACATCTCACATTTACATAATAACCTCTCCTTTTTCTCCTCTGGCCAGGTTGTGACAACATGCTGATGGGGATAAAGTCCCTGAAAATAGTGAAGAAGACTATGGACCCACATGGCTCCTGGATGAAAGATGCTGGCAGTGACTCTCCCAAAGTATATGTTTTAATTGGATCCAGCAGCAAAACTGTTTTGGAATTTGCAAATATTCGGGCATTCATGGAGGACAACACCAAGCCAGCTCCCCGAAAGTTACTCCTACCACTTTCCTGGCAGGGATCAGGTCAAGTGCTCTACAAAGGTTCTCTTTATTTTCACAATCGAGGAACTTCTAATGAGATAATCAAATATAATCTGCAGAAGAGGACTGTGGAAGACAGAATGCTGCTCTTAGGAGGGGCAGGCCGAGCACTGGTCTACCAGCACTCCCCCAACACTTACATTGACCTGGCTGTGGATGAGCATGGGCTCTGGGCCATCCACTCAGGCCCAGGTATCCAAAGCCATCTGGTCCTCACAAAAATTGACCCTGACACATTGGGAATCGAGCACTCATGGAACACTCCATGCAGAAGCCAGGACGCTGAAGCCTCATTTCTCATATGTGGAGTTCTCTATGTGGTCTACAATTTTGGTGGCCAAGGTCCTCATCGAATCACATGTGTCTATGACCCCCTGGGTACAATCAATGACGAGGACCTGCCCAACTTGTTCTTTCCCAGGCGGCCAAGAAGTCACTCCATGATCCATTACAACCCCAGAGATAAGCAACTGTACGCCTGGAATGAAGGGAACCAGATCATTTACAAACTCCAGACAAAGAAAAAACTGCCTTTGAAGTAATGAATTGCAACCTGGAAGGATAGCAACATGATTTTGGTTAATGTTTCCAGGACACTGAGACCAGATCCCCTTGTAGTACACTTCTAGTGACAAGTAGGATCCAGGAAAGGGAACACATATGCATCCTTTCCCAGATGTTTCTGCCTTAGGTATCTTCCAATAGCTTAGATAAGTCTATCATTTTGAAATTTTTAATTTTAGGAAGAATCTATTACTCATCCAAAGTTCTTAGATTTCAAGGCCTCCCACATATGGATCCAGTTTACTCCCAGCTTTTTCTTCTCTGATCCCTAGCATCTACTTTAGCTCTGGCCTCTTTTTCCAACAGTTCAAATTGTATGTTCCTTCTTGATACTCAGTGGGTTTTTCTCCTCTAACTTTTGCTCAGTCTCTTCATTCTTGATAAATATTCTTCCAATTTTTTTCACTACCCAACTAAAAGTACTATTTCTTATCTATACTTAATCTTTATTTCCTGTAGCTTTGCTGTTTCACCAAGGTAGATGGATGTAACAAATAAATACATTAACATTTAGATGCCACTTTCTAGCTACAAAGTGTTTGCACATCATTTCTCTTTTTCTATTGTGAGATTTGTAAGCCTTTACAATTGCCCCTTTAGAGATAAGAGTTTAGATGAATTATTCAAAGTATCACAACTCCAGAATGAAAGAGCTAAAAAATACTGCACTCTTCATAGTCTTTCCATTTCCCAAGGAGGCATCAAATATGTATTTTTGCTCACTCAGTCTTTTATAACTTAACGTGTTCAGCAATTCAGCCTAAAAACAATAAGTTTTGCCCATTCAGCCATTTTTTTCATGTCTGCACAAGGTCTTTCATGTCTTCCTATTGGTCTTTCAAAAACTCCTTCCTTCAAAAAAGCAGCCTAAGAGTGAAGACCCCGCCACCTGGGTCTTTTAGCTAGCTGTCATCTGCTTCTTTTTTCTTGCTTTAACCATAATAAAAGTGACACTAGATAAATAAATATTTGCCTACATGCCCTCAGTATAAAAGCTTTCAGGGAGTGCTGCCTGTGTGAAGTTTACCGTGACCAGTCTCCAATACACAGAGACCTTTGGTAAATACTCTGGGATCTGGAGGGCAGCCAGATAGCAGGCAAGTGGCTGTTGGCCACAGCACACATGCTGGGCTAGTCCAGAAGGCAGCATGTGCTTCTAGAGAGGACCTTCTTCAGAATGTTTTCCATGTGTGTGTTCAGTTCAGCAGAGTTTGGGTCACAAGTGCAGGTGGTGGTGCCAGTCTGTGTCTCATGCTGAGGCCCCTGTCTTTCCAGGTTGGTCACATGAGAGGGCTTGCTTTGTGTATTTGCAGCTGTTTGCCTGTCTTTGCCAAGCTCTGGCTGTGACCTTAGGCAGTGAAGGAAGATTTTTCACCCATAGCATTTGAATAGATCTTTGGCAGAAGAACAATAACCAGCCCATAGACACAGTGCAATTATCCACAATTCTAGTAGAATGGTAGAGAAAGCCCAAATCTTTTGTGGAATAAAGCAGTTATGAACAAGTAAGTATGGCGATATTAATCATTCCATGGGTCCGGGGCCTTTATCTTCCCTATGGATAAAGTAACATTATCTATTTCAGATATGAGGAAAGTGGTCAGCTTCCCAGTGGAGGATGGAGTGGAATTATCCACAGGGAAAGTCTGGCACGTATAGCTCCTTTGTAGGCAAAAGGACAATTTGCCTGTAATAAATTGTCCATCTTCCATTCAGGAAATGCATGGATTTGCATGGATTCTGCAAGGACTAGGATTTGACATCTACCCTTCACAACTCACCCCAATACTTATATCCCTGCAGCTAGAATTCTTTTAGGTCAAGACATTTTCTCCAGGAAACTTCTGTTAATGTGCTACTTTGCTTGATAGCATGCAGGTCTTGCAACACCTGATGTTTCTTTTCAGCTCTGGAGTCTCTCATTGGATTTAAGTGAGGGAGGAGTGATGTCTCCTTGACTACACTGATGCATATTAAACTTGGTTGCCTGTAATAATCACTTGTGAACAGGAAATGGGGGCGTGTGCCTATAACTCCAGCATTTGGGAAGCTGAGGCAGGAGAATCCCTGAGAGTTCAAGGACATTCTGACTTTATAAGCCAGATCCTGTCCCCTTCCAAAAAAAAAAAAAAATTACTTGGGAAGCTTTAAGAGCATTAATGTCGAGGACATATCTCATGTCCTCTGGGTTTGCTTTGTGTTTGAGGCTGAGACATCAGTATTTTTAAAGTCCTTTCCCTCAAGGTGGTGCCAAACTGAAAATAAGCATAAAAGCCAGCTATTTACAAAACTTAAAAGAGTAATTGCATAGTTCTAAGAGCAAGCTAGTATTTTCTGGGGGCTGGGGTAAGGGCAGTGGGTCCCCTGGGGGCAATGTGAGGATTTGGAAACACTCAAGAACTTGGGTGAAAGGCAGGCTTCCTGTACAAAAGCCTCTCTGCTGCTATTTTAAGAAGTGAAACTCAACTAAAGGGTGTCCTGCTGTAACACAACTCTGCAGGGCCAGCCTCCCTCTGCTGGCTTTGCCCTTGGTCTGCTGCTGGCCAGGTTCCTGCAGTGACCACAAGTCTCCTATTTGCCAGCGTGGCTTAGGTTCTGTTGACATGAGCAAGTCTCTGGGCACACTAGTAATTTCAGGCCAGAAGGGTAAATCTGGTTGGAAAAAACGTGTCCCATGGAGTCTGTCAATTCTCCAGCCAGTGAAGAATAGGAGGCCAGGACTAAACTGACTGCTGCCAGAGCTGGGGACTATGCCAGTGTTGCTGGGGGTGCTGCCATCACAGGCCCAGGAGGATTTTAATTTTTTAATCGGCTGAAGTGAGCAGCAGGTCCTTGGAGGCCCAGGTAGGGCAAACACGGGCGGTAAGTAGGTGCTTGGTTTTCAGGGCCCAGCCCTTCCCATTTGAGAATCAGTTCCCTGAGGGCAGGCAGTGCCAAAACTCTTCCTGGCTTGTGATACCTGAGCTCAGTGCTGGGCACAGGAAGTGCTTCTGGTGCTCAGCTGTTCCCAAGATTCAGCACCACAGCTTTCGTTCCTTAGTTCACCGCCAACCACTAGAGGGACCTTCACCTCGGGGTCGCGAGTTTCGAGCTCACAAGGACCTGGGGTGACCGGAAATTTGCCAACCACGGCGTGGGGCGAAGGGTGAGGAGTGAAAGCGGGCAGAGCTCAGCCAGGACACACGAGGCTGTATTGAGGCCAAACTCAGTTTCGCTGGAGTGCGGTTGGGAGATACGGACTCCCCAGGGGTGGCTATGCAGCAGGTGCTTGTATTACGAGTTTGCGGGGCTTCTCTCTCTTTTTTTTTTTTTTTTTTAATCAGTTCTCGCACAAATTCTCCAGCGTTGAAAGAGCCGCGCCGTGGAGATGCAAAAGCCAGGGAGCTGCGCGAGTCCTCCTGGCGGCCTAAGGGTGTTGGAGGTGGTGTGGCGGGGCGGGGCGGCGCCCGTGGGGGGCGGGGCTTGGAGGCCGTCGGAGCGCGGCACGGGGGCGGGGTTGACAAGGTAGGGGCGTGGTTGACGAGGCCGGGGCAGGGGCGGGGCTGACCAGGCAAGTCAGCGGGAGGCCGGCTGTTCACTAGCCCCCATCGGAAGCGGAGGAGAGACCGCAAGGTTGGAGAAGTGGAGGGGAAGGAGGTTCCCAGGGGGTGGGACAGCGACGCTCCGGGACGAGCCTCCGGCAGGGTGCCCGCCCCCGTCACGTGGACTCCAGAGCGGCAGCAGCGGGTAGACCGCGGGCGCTCCGCAGTTGGTCGGTGGCCGGGAACCTGTGGCTGGGTTCTCGGCGCTCGTGGTCGGGGGTGGGAGGGCCACGCGAGCGGCGCGCACACCTGAGCCTCCCGGACCGGAGCCACCGCCCCGCATTCAGGTCAGTGGGTTTCGCCGATGCTCCCGGACTCACCCAGTGTCTAGACTGGGCTCGCGAGATGGGCATTGCCTGGGGATCCGAGACCCCATATCTAAGAGCTGCACGGGTCGTGGAGGTGAGGTCCAGGAGCTAGTTCCCAGAAGCGAGGTCGGGGACCTCACCCCCTTCACTGGTCAGAAGACTAGGAGGAAGATGGATAACTCCTGTGGATTTGCTTCGAAATCCCACTCTTTTAACTTGCTAGGCGCCGCGGACAGTTCACGATCTACAGGTGGTAGGGAGTAACTGGTGATGCAGGCGGTCCCTACTCCCCGAAATAGTGCGAGTTCTGCGTGGGTATGGATGGCCCAGCTCCGCTTCCGGAGCAGCGAAAAGTAAGAGCCCAAGGTGGCGTGGAAGTTTTAGGACTTTGCTCAGGCAAATTTCTGTTCCACAGTACCTGCGTCCCATACTATTAATGCAAAAACACAACGTACTTTTCAAAAGGTCAGGCTGCTGAGTCCCAGCAAGACTACAAGATAGGAATTGTCCCATTTAAAAATGGGTTCTTTTTCTCTACTGACTCCAGACTGACTGTTTTTTTTTTTCCTTTGAGAAAATAAGATTATGTATTTAAAGACCAGAATTTCTAAGGTTTGGGTATGACAGTCTAACTCAGAGTATCTGGATATTTGGATAGATCTATGTATTTCCTTTTTCATATTTTGGTCTACTTTCTGTCTTTCTCTTCATCTCTCTTTCCTCCATCCTTCCTTAATTGATTGTAATACAAAGCTGATGAGTTTACAGATTTTTTTGGTGTCTATTGTGAAGTTAAATGTTCAACTATAGGAAGGTAGTTGATTATAGACATCAATAATTTTCAGACTTTGATTTTACTGGTATAGTCATAAATTCATATATTAGAATATTCCTATTGGTATATTGATAGATATGTCAGCCTTCAGTTATTGGTATGAGGAACACACGACATTATCTGTTAGAAGTTCATTCTCTCTTGGGCTCAGAAGAGCTCATTTGTGTTCTACTTATGTTCATATTTAAAGTACTTTGAATGGGGTGATAAGAGAGATTGGTGAGTCACTGCTGCACCCATATGAGATTTTATGTGACTTTTGTTGTCATTGTGGTGCTGGTTGCACGGCCTTGCACATGCTACGAAGGGCTACATCCTACATTTTAATCAGTAGTACTATTACTTTGAGATTTGGTGATGTGTCAGTAACTGCATTATTGGCTGCTAGAAGAATGTCAGTAGTCAGTTCTTTGGGATAACTAATGCACTATGACTTTAAGACAAAGTGGAATGTTATAAATGACATAGGGGTAGGAGCAGAGTTTTGGAGGTTCCTACCTTTCCTCTGAGCAGGCAGAATCTGGGATAATTTTCCAAAAGGAGTAATGCGTGCATGTGATAGAGCTCAAAGGATTTCTCTGGGGTTTCTTCAGGTGATGGTAAGCAAGGCGACCTGGACTGTGAGTGCTGTATAGATAGGCAGGCTTGGACTAGCCTAGGGAAGTGGCTCTTCATCCAGCTTGACTCCCATAGTGGATGGTGGACAGTAGAGCTGATGACTAGGACAGAATATGGTCCCATTGCTCATAAAGGAGTGGGGAAGAAGTGTGGACTTTGTCTGAAAGGGCATTTGGTGGAATGAGAGTCAATATGGGCTTTTAAGCAGGAGACTGACTTCAGAGTTGGGGAGATTCTCTGCAATCTAGACTCTTCCAACTCCCTGTTTGACAAAAAATCCAGTAAATATTTGTGGAACGAATGGTTCGGCACTAAAGCAGAGCTTCTCAAACTTTAACAGGTCCAAGTCACTTGAGGATTGTGTTCAAATGTAGATTCTGAGGTCAGATGTGAGACCTGGCTTTCCGCATTTCTAATTTGGTAGGAAGAGTGCCTATCATTTTGCCATCTGTGGCAAGAATTTGAGTCTGAAAACTGGCTGTGCTTTAGAATTGTCTGGGGAGCTTTGTAAACTATTCAAATTCAGTAGATCTGGGATGTTATTATAAAAGTCCCCAGGTGATTTTTCTAACTGGAAGATGAAAATGGCTATAGTGGACTCTGTGGCACTTGGGAGGCACTGTCCAAGGGAAACCAAGACAATGGACTTTGGAGGTCAGTTAGGAAATGACAAGGGTAGGTTAGGGTAGAATTGGTAGGTGAGACCTTACTGTGGGCCTGAAAGGTAGTGAATTTGGGTCCGGTAGAAGAAACCTTGGAAAGACAGAATCTGTAGGACTAGGGGCTAAGGAGTGGGAGAGGTCATTCTTTTTTTTTTTTTTTTAATTTAAGAGGAAAAAGAGAAAAACACAAAACAAACCAAAGCGGTGTAAGGGTACACGTAATACAGAACTACAAAAAAAAAAAAAAAACATAACAGTAAGAAATCACCTGTTAGTAGATTACATATTATCATCTTGAAAATAGTTCCTCAAATCATAGTATCAAAGAATACAAGGTGGACATTCAAACAGGGAGACTGCAAACAGCTGTGTTCAATGATCCAAAAACATTGATTTGTCAGCTATTTAACACCCTAAACACACTTGCTGTTATATCCGTTAGAGGTCTTTTTCTTTTTTTTTTTTCCCCTGGGAGAGGTCATTCTTATTCTGTTTATCATGACTG